GGCAGTTGGTGGTGCAGTGAGCGACGTACGCAGATTCATGGCGTGGATGGATCCATCCATCCATGTGTCGCTGTGTGCGTGTTTGTGAGTGGATTGGTTAAGAGGGAGGGAGGCTGATTTTTCGATGGGGTTGCGGGTGGGTGGTGCAGTGGGGCCAGGGAGGGAGGGAGGGAGGCAAGGGAGGGTAGTGAGGGGGCGATCCGATCGACACACACATCTTGTACATGACCACCGACCATATCGCGTGTATACTGACTGAGTGAATGAGTGAGTGACCGCCCGCTCGCCCGCCCGCCTGACTGACTGACTGACTGCTATGTGATTTCCTTTCGTTCCTTTTTCAAAACGGCCGTTGGTGTGTGTGTGTGTGTGTGTATGTATGTGTGAAGTTTGAAGGGCTATGGTGTGATGTACAACACAGGAATCGCCCTCGTCCTCTCACGTGCACCTGTACGCCTCCAGAGAGAGAGAGAGAGAGAGAGTTGATTCGCCAGCAGTGAGTGAGGGCTGTAGAGAGCCGTTGATTCTACTACTGCCACACACACACACACTTACACACACACACTGAGTGCTCTCATGTATTGTGTAATTACACACGACGAACATGACTCCTGAGTGACGTATGGACGTACGGACAATCACTCCTTTCAATGAACGAACGGTCTCTGTATATCAAATGTGCTGACACGGCAACAGCACACATCTCTGCTGCCACATCAAACAGACCTGCCCTCATAGCTAAACCAACTCACTCACTCACAGACAAAAACCTCTCGCCGACCCCGATACGAGAAACCACACCACACCCACTAGAAAGCCCTCGACCGACCAAAAAACCCCGCCTAGCCGCCCTCTCACTTGGCTACTGCACTCCTCTCCTGTGTGTGCTGTACTGGCCACACGACCCACCCCACACAGCCGTACTTGTGCTCGAACTTGGCCTCCCACTCGTCCAGTATTTCCTTCTCAAACAGGTTCAGATCCCCCCAGTCCTGGCGGTTCATCTCGCTCTCCTCAAACGACATTCTCGCGAGGGCGCGCGAGGCGTCCTTGCCGGCGAAGCAGTGGTACGGCCCGCCCTGGCCGTACATATCTCTCCCACTCCTGGTGCTGCTCATGTCATACACCTGATCGGTGGATGGAAAATGGCGCACACACAGGACACAATGAGATGAGTGGCGTCATCAGAGATGCTCTGCGCGTACCTTTCCTCTGACGGCCACATACACAGGAGCGCCATCAGCGCCTCGAAATGCTGCCAGTTCTTCGAGCGTGAAGCCTCGTGGGCATGGATCTGGCTTGGGAGGCGGCACGTAGGTCTCCTCTTCCTCCCGCTTTCGTGGCCATAAGAGGTAGGTCATGAAGGCCGCCGCCGTGACGCCAACACCGAGCGCCACCCATGGCCACCGGATCAGATCTTTGACGCTCTGCAGCCTCTCGCGAAGCGTCGCTACCATTGCGTATGTGGGTTTCACGGAAAGTGTGGCACTAACTCACATACGCATCATACACCCATGGGTAAGGAAGCGGCCGGTCAGAGAGATGTACGCGGGAATGTGCAGAAGAGAAGGGCAAGGGTGGGAAGGACAAGACTGGGTGTGGCGTCATGTTCAACTACAACACGGCCACCCCGGCCCGCAAGGCGACCCTGGAGGCCTACTGTTGCGCCCGAGGCCGGCCCCTCAACGGCCGGGGCGGCTGGCTGGACCAGCCCGGCACCAGTGCGGCCCTCGGCATCTAGAGCCCCTACGCGCAGTGACCGATAACAAACGGCAACACCCAACCCCCCGTCCCTCTCCTTCCCCATCCCGACTGCCCTGATGGCCAGATCATCCATCCTGACCGCCCAGTGACCCAGCAAGCGGTGTGCAGCAAGACGCCATGCGTCGAAAGCATGCCAGTGCAGTCAACACACTGGGGGTGGGTGCATGACTGGCTGGTGCATGTTACCCACACTAGCTTTGTGGGAGCCAGTCTTGTTAGCCACATACAGTGCATCTGTAGGACAATTTGTCCATGTTACATACATATTTATCTATGAGGGAGCGATGAATTAGGTTCGTGGAGTGCTATATGCCACCACTCACGCAGCCACGACACTCACGTGCACTCTGTGGCTGCGTGCAACCTCAGGGTTTGGGCTTCAGGGTTGCAACCCTAAAGCCCAAACCTGAGGTGTTGCGAAGGCCCAAACTTTTCCCCCGGTTCGAGCACGACAAAGATGCGGCGCGCCATTGGAGCTCCCGAGCTTCCTCCGTCGTTATGCCGCCCTGCGCGAGCCCCGCTCCGGCAGCCCTTCCCACGCGCATTCGCCACGACAGCAATGCCGACTCCCTCTACCTCACCATCTCCCTCGCCCTTCCTGCCCACCCGCATCGTCGCTCCCATCGACCGCTCCAGCGAGATCTTCCAGGCCAACCTTGCTAAGATGACGTCCATCTGCGAGCAACACAGGGCGCTGGTCTCGCAGATCGCCTTTGGCGGAGGCGAGACGGCGCGGAAGCGGCACACGTCGAGGAAGAAGATGCTCTGCAGAGACCGCATCGACGCTTTGGTGGACCCTGGGGCGCCGTTCCTGGAGCTGTCGCAGCTGGCTGGGCATGATCTGTATGAGGACATTGTGCCGTGCGGCGGCATCGTGACGGGCATCGGGCCCATCGGCGGGCGGCTGTCGGTGATTGTGGCCAACGACGCGACGGTCAAGGGCGGGACGTACTACCCCGTCACGGTCAAGAAACACCTGAGGGCGCAGGAGATCGCCATGCAGAACTACCTGCCGTGCGTGTACCTGGTTGACTCGGGAGGGGCCAACCTGCCCAGACAGGCTGACGTCTTTCCTGATCGGTATCACTTCGGCCGCATCTTCTACAACCAAGCCAACATGTCCGCAATCGGTCGGTCTGTCACCTGCCAGGCGCACACCCCTCACAACACAACACACCATTCATCCCATCCACCTACATGACTCTGCTTGCTCTCTCTCTCTCTCTCTCTCTGTGTGTGTGTGTGTGTGTGTGTGTTTCTTTCGCCAGGGATCCCGCAGATAGCGGTGGTGATGGGTTCCTGCACTGCCGGTGGCGCCTATGTGCCGGCCATGTCCGACGAGTCCGTCATCGTCAAGGGCAACGGCACCATTTTCCTTGGCGGACCGCCACTCGTCAAAGCCGGTACAGAAACACAGATGCGTCCACACCAATCAATACAGATGCCGGTCCGATGACATTCGGTGCGGTGCGGGCTGTGTGTCCGTTTGTTCGTTCAGCGACTGGTGAGGTGGTGACAGCCGAGCAGCTGGGTGGTGCGGACCTCCACTGCCGCCTCTCCGGGGTGGCCGACCACTACGCACTCGACGAACATCACGCCATCCACCTCGCTAGACAAATCGTCAGCCACCTGCCCCCTGTCGGCGGTGCCGCCCCGCCACCGGACCTCGAGCCATCAGAGGAGCCATGGGAGGACCCTGACGACCTTATGGGGCTCGCCCCTACCGACCTGAGGCGGCCCTTCGATGTGCGGCCGGTGCTGTCGCGGCTGCTGGACGGCTCCCGGCTTGCGGAGTTCAAAGCGAGATACGGCACGACGCTCGTCACTGGGTTTGGGCACCTGTACGGTGTGCCTGTGGGTGTGCTGGCCAACAATGGCGTGCTCTTCAGCGAGGCCGCACTCAAGGGGGCCCACTTCATCGAGCTGTGCGCCAAGAGGCAGATACCCATCCTCTTCATCCAGGCAAGCCACTTGTTGACGGATGGATGGCCCAGCCCGATAATGGAATGAATGTGTGTGTGTGTGTTCTGCGTGTGTGCAGAATATCACTGGCTTCATGGTAGGCCATGCGGCCGAGAAGGGCGGCATCGCCAAGAACGGCGCCAAGCTCGTGACGGCCGTCTCAACAGCCAACGTGCCCAAGCTGACATTGGTGGTGGGGGCGAGCTACGGTGCCGGCAACTACGGGATGTGCGGCCGTGCATACGACCCCCGCTTCCTGTTCATGTGGCCCAACAGCCGCATCGCCGTCATGGGCGGCGAGCAGGCCGCCGGTGTCATGCTCGAGATCGAAAAGGCCGCCAGGAAGAAGGACAAGGGCGAGTGGAGCTCAGAGGAGGAGCAGAAGAAGAGGGAGGCTCTGCTGGACAAGTACGAGAGCGAGAGCCACCCCTACTACTCGTCTGCAAGGCTGTGGGATGACGGCGTGGTGAGAAGCACACAGGGTGGACATATGAGTGTGGGTCTGTCTCCCTGTCCGTCCGTCTGTGTGTGTGTGGTTCATTCAGGTGTTGCCGACGGATTCCCGTCAGGTGTTGGGGTTGGCGCTTCATGCGGCCATCAACAACCCAGGGGGACACACAAACTTTGGGGTGTTCAGGATGTGATGCACGAAAGCGGGTGTTGAGCGAGAGACCGTACTGTGGGCCATTTTCTGTCGTGCTAGTAGGGGGGCCGTGCGTGTCAGGTGTAATTCGATGTGGGTCGAGGCCTCTCTGTCGGTTCTCCGTCTTTTTGTCTGCTGCGTATGCCTCCGATGAGCCGCGTCGATTGGCAACGGTCAGCTGGGCTTGGCTGACAGTGCCAATCATACGCCATCATGGGAGGCACGTGCAGCAGATGACACGAAAGACCTGCAGCACTCGATAAATAAAGTGCACACAAGTTAGCTGTCTTCGACACCGACAGACACGTACACCAACACGCAACAGACGTAGAAAAACAGCAGTGGAGACAACGCTGAGCGGTACCCCGAAAACACCAAACTACTTCCTCCCACTACGCCACACAACATCCCGTCACAGCTTTGCCCCGCCCCTGGTTTTCGCCAGGTGGTCTCTCAGCTCCATCCTCGCAATGGTCCTCAGATGCACCTCATCGGGCCCGTCGGCGAGTCGAATGGTGCGTGCCTGGGCCCACATGTACGCCAGCGGCGTTGTGTCCGACACACCAGCCGCACCAAACAGCTGGATGCAATCGTCAATCACCTGCGAAGGGGCAAAAAGGCGTATGTACGTGTGTGAGGCTGTGTGCGTTGTTGACCTTGGTGGCGGCTTGCGGCGTGGCGACTTTTGCCATAGCGAGGGCCTTGAAGAGAGGTCGCTTTGACGGCAGTTTCCCTGCGGCCGCCTCGTCCAGAAGGTGGGCCGCAGAGTAACACAGACACCGAGCCTGATGGATGGATGGATGGATCAACCGACAGACATATATACCCACAGTGCGCGGCCCACTGACCTGCTCGATGAGTATTCTTGAGTGTGCGAGTGTGGCCTGCACGGAGCTCTGCTCGGCCAGGGGACGGCCGAAGGGTCGTCTCTCTACCACACGCTGAACACAGCACACCACACCACACCACACCACACATACACGCATGCAGTTGCAGCCAGTGGTGGCCTCTCTCTCTCACAGACACACCTGTTTGGTGACAGCGATGGCCCGCTCCGCAGCGCCGAGCAGCCTCAGGCAGTGGTGCAGCCTCCCGCCACCCAACCGGCCCTGGATGATCTGGAACCCACGGCCAACCCCACCCACCACACTCTCATCTATCGGCACCTGCACGTTCTCGAAACGCATCTCGGCATGACCTACACACACAACAAAAGGGAGGCAACACACACGGGCCAGGTTGCTTCTTCTTGTGTGTGTGTGTGTGTGTGTGTCCCCGTCCCTCCCTCCCTCCGTCCCCGTCCCTCCCTCCCTCCCTCCCCACTGACCATGAGGGGCGTCGTCATATCCGAAGACGGTGTGGGGTCTGAGCACTTTCACCCCTGGTGTGTCCATGGGCACTAGCACCACTGTGTGTGAGGCGTGGGGGTCGACCTTGGCTGATTTTGCTGCTGGTGCGGCTGGTGTGCTTTGGTGTCGGCCCAGGACGATAGCGACCTTGCAGCGGGGGTCGGATGCGCCACTGATGTACCACTTGTGGCCGGTCACTGACACTGTGCGGCCATCATCCTGACAGACACAACAGACGTGACACACACTATGATACGGTGGGCTGTCTGTCTGTCTGTCTGCTTACATTGGTGGCGATCTGTGTATGTATGTTGGTTGCATCCGATGAGGCCGTGTGGGGCTCAGTCATCGCAAAGCAGGACCTATGTGAGCATATGGGGTAACTAACACATTCATCCCTATATGTGTTGCCTTGCCGCGTTTCTGACCTGATCTGCCCTCTTGCCAGTGGTCTGAGCCACTTGTCCTTTTGCTGTGCGGATCCGAACTTGAGCAGCACCTCCATGTTGCCCGTGTCGGGCGCCGAGCAGTTGAACACCTCTGGCGCAAACGCACACCAGCCCGTCAGCTGCAGTGTGTGCAGCGAGTGGCAACATGCATACAGACATCCACACGGGCCAGCCAGACGCCTTGCGTTTTGTCTGTCTGTCTGTCTCTTTGTGTATCTATCACCTCACCTCGCACACGGGAGCATACTCGAGGTGTGTGAGGGCAGCACCGCCCCAGGAGCCCTGCGTGTGAGGTGGACGAATGAATGGGAGCAAGGTGCATTCACAATCAAACATGGTGCGTTTGTGAGTGAGTGTGTCTCACAGATGGGTCCATGTCCTTGGTCAGGAAGAAATTGAAGAGGTCTGAAAGACAGACACGAAGAGAGGGAGGCACGCAGGCAGGCAGAGGGGCAATGCCGAGAGCGATATCGCTTCGCCGGTGTTTATCTTTCTACTTACCCTGGTGGAGTGCATCCTTCTTGAGCTCTTCCATGAGGGGATGCACCTCACGCCACCGCCTCTCAGACGTCATGTGCTCATACAGCACACCCCTGCACCCGCCAGACCCATCACATCGACACAGCATATGCCACCTCCTCCCCTATATTCTTGTATATCGCCTGCCTGCCTGCCTGCCTGTCTCCCTACTAACTCTGCAGGCAAGATGCGTTGAGCGATGAAGGTCCTGACTGCGGCGTGCAGCCGCCTGACCCTCTCACCCCATGGTCGCCCCATCAGCGATGGCAGCTCCACCGACGTGAGAGAGCTGGTGGGGGTGGGGTACGATATGGGCGCCAGGCCGTCACTCGCTGCTAATGTGTCAGCGGCGTGTGGCTCTCCTTGTTGTCCCAGGAGCTGCGATGCGGTGCTGGAGAGGCCTTCGACGATTTCCTGGACGCACCGAGCACGAAGGAGGAGGACAATCATCCGTCCATCGTCGCCCTGGGTTGTGTTGTTTTTGTTATGTATCGGCTGTCTGTTTGTCTGTTTGACCTTCATGCGTTCAGGTCCTATCCTCACAGCGACGTCCGAAGAGGCGTTGCCCAGCACCGTCCGCTTACGAATGCCTGCAGGGCATGGCATGCATTGCCCGCCACCCACACACACCCACACCCACACAATCGTCGGTGGTCGTCTGGCCTGGCTGTGCTATGCAATACGAATGTGCGTCATATCTTTTCTCTCTCTCTGCGGTACTGACCCTGCACGACGGCCGCGACTTTGAATAGGGCGAATGCCTTGTACAGACTCCACACAGACGACGGGAACGCTGGCACACCTGCACAGAATAGTGGCAGAAAGACGTGAATATGGCCGGTTGGCTGGCCTTGGTGTCCGCTGACCTCTCTGTTGGCAGTAAATGGCCCGCATGTCATCCTCGGAAGGAATTCCTGCAGCCAGGCAGGCAGGCAGGCAGACAACATCCATGTCTGCGTCCCCTCTGTCTGTCTGTCTGTCTGACCCCCACCTGTTTGCCGCAGTGCGTCTCCCCTGGCCCTCAGCGGTGGGATGAACGCGTCGAGTACGTCCAGTGGTGGGAGGTAGTAGGCCAGGCACAGCTGGGCGAGGTCGGCCAGGGGGTCGCCGATGGTGCACAGCTCCCAGTCCAACACTGCCACACACTGATGGACAGACAAAGACACACACATACTTGTGGGACGTGTGTGTGTGTGTGCTGTACCGTACCCACCTTGAGTGTGTGTGGGTGGAGGATGAGATTGTCCAAACGGTAGTCGCCATGAACTGAATGCCCAATAAATACAGAGAGGTCGACGAGTTAGTTACATCCGTCCGTTTGCGCTTGTGCGTGTACCTACCTACCGAGTCGCCCCGACTCGACAGCGCTTTCTGATCACACCACCGACAAACAAGGCCTTTCGTTACACGGCTCCGGGGCCCACATCCATCCATACTGACCGTCAAGGTTTTGCACGCGCGTCTTGAGAAGGCCGATAAGGCGTGTCAACTCTGGCAGTGTCTCGTTGTCCAGCTGTGAGCTCTCAACCTGACGAACCCACCGAGCCACCTGTCTGTGGAAAGAAATATCCCACACAGACGGCACAGATTAAGTGAAGTCGTGCACTGCAGTGCATCGTCCAAGGCGTTTGCACCGACCGACCTTTGCAGGTAGTGCTGTGGCTTCCCGAGGTCGGTGAGCCCAGCGGCCTTTAGGTCCACATCGTGGATGGCCGCCAGCGCACGGACGCTCTCTATGTAGACGTGGCGGCGCTGACACGCCGACAGCCCGGGCAAGTTGGGGTCCGATTGCACTCTGCCCTCCACATACCTACACACACACAGTCACACACACAACATTTATGTGTTTGGTTGTGTCTGTTCTGTCCCGACCTCATGATATAGAAGGCTGTTCCCGCGACGCTGTCGTCCTGGCAGAGTGCGAGCGGCTCAGCCACAGGCACACTGGCCCCGCTGGCAGGCGAGCTGAGGGCCCGCAACACTCGATACTCACGCTCTACATCGTGCGCACTGCATCCGTGGCACACAACCATCCATCCCATCAGTTTGTGGCCTCTGTGTGTGTCCCCACCCACCCACACAGACCTTCGCAGCAGAGGTCCCGGTGGTCGCCTGCGCAGCACCATGTGCAGAGGGGGAGTGTTGTTGCCGTGAGTCATGCGGCGCAGTACATATGTGATGAGGTATGTGGGGTTGGACTGCCCGTGGGGGAACTGGTGCACCAACACGCCTACGTACGTGCACACGCAGTACAGCACAGCACATCCACAGCAACACGAATGCGGTGCATCACCGAATGAATGAATGAATCAGTGTCCTCCACTCCTTCCCCAGCAGCTGAGGTGACCTTCTGCGCTTTTGACGGAAGGGTCGTGTGGCAGCTCCTTCTTGAGGAAGGCCAGCAGCCGGTCGGCGGGCACCTCCAGCCCCTTCCGTGGGTTGACCACTCGCGGAAGGGTGGGCATGCTGGCGCCGTTTGGCAAGAAGGAGAAGGCCTCCTGCAGTATGCCGAAAGCTTCCGTGGGGCCGCCACGGACCTGAGACGACAGACAGACAGACAGACACATGATGCATGGCATGACTATCTGCCATGCCAGCATACATAAAATGGTGTGTGTGTCTTGCCTTGCTCACACACGCACCTCACCTGTTTGCACGTGATTCCCAGCGATTCAGCCGCAGGCAAGTTGCCTGCACAGACAGACAGGAGAGAAGAAAACAGCTATCTATCTATTCATCCAAGCATCATCTTCCAACATCCGCACGAACCGGGCAGGTCATCCAGGAACAGACACGCCTCCAGAAACCTCCGCCTCATGGGTCCCTCCTCCGGCACACCCAGCCGCCTCAGCGCCACCTCAAAGACTCCACACCCCTCGCCCCTGCCCTTGCGCATCCCCTCCACAGCCGACTCCACCACCACATCGAACAGAGGACGGATGGACCAGGGAAAGGCGCTCTTGCTGCTGCGTGAGGTCAACAGGAAGTTGTTGGTGACAGCCCCTAGCAGGACACCGCGAGCACGGAGGTGCGCTAGAAGGAGCACTAGCTGAGGATCTGGGGAGGGGGAGCCAAAACGAGGCAACAAGACGATGGTGCTATGGCCGGTGTGTGGTTGTGTGTCTGTCTGAGTGTGTCACCTACCTGGTTGCAGGGAGATGAGCCTTCTGAACAGCGGCTGGAGGTCGATGTTGTGCTGCTGTCGGACCTTGGCCAGAAAGTCTTCCAGAGTGATGTTGCCGCTCTCAAGCTCATGCCACAGATCTGACATCCATGGACACGAGGACACACAAGACACCACACCCACCCACCCACAGAGGAACGAAGCATTGCAGATCTGCCTCAGAGCATCGTCGATTCATTGGATCTATGCAAATCAGATCCGTGTGTGTCGGGATGTTCATTCACCGCTTTCTTTGAGCAGCCTTTGCAGCCGATTCTCTCCCAGCCCGTTGGCCTTCTCGAACTCGCGGAAGATGCCGAAAGGAGAGGGGCATACCACACCGCCGATATCAAGCAACACACAGCCATAACGCGTCATGCTTCACCGTCTGAGCCTCTCAAATCGTCACCAAACGCAGGAACAGATCTCCCTGGGGTAGCGGAGTAGAGGCCTGGGGTCCCAGAACGATGCGAGCTTAGCAGTGCAGATCCCATTCCCCGACAATGAATGTTTTTCGAGGTCTTTCGCTTTGCTTTTTCGGTGGCTACATTCTCCTTCTCATTCAGCCCCTCACAGCCGCCTACACGTTCGCCCCAAACCAGACCCTCACATGCGCCCTGCTGGTCACAAACACGACTGCATCCACCCTCGCAGCATCCGAGAACCGATTCAGCATGGTCCTCTCGCCGCAAGCAAGCTCCCTGCCGCAGACAATCGCCGCCCTCCCGGCTGGTGGCACACTCGACATCAGTGGCAAGGTGACGGGGCTCAACGTCAAGCTGGGGGAGTATCTTGCCAAGGAGGCGGGGATCCCCTTCCGTCTGCTGGCCTACCGGATGCCTGACAGCCTGTTCGGGACGACTGACAGCGTGTTGCAGCTGCGGCATGTCTTTGGCGAATTGGGGCCCGAGAGCGGGATTGACTGCCTGGTGGACAGCATCTTCTTGACAGAGGAGAGGAGGGAGATCACCTCGTTCCTAGCTCCACACGTACGCTACGCACCATCATCACATCACCCCACACACACACACATCTCGCAACCGCACCAAATAGTGTCGTTGCCTGTCTGTCTGGTCTGTCTGGTCTGTCTGGTCTGTCTGGTCTGTCTGGTCTGTGTGGCTGTGTGTGCAGGTGCTGTACTCGTATCAGGTGGTGACCCTGCGGCGGCGCAAGGCGCAGACGGCCGTGTGGGCCAAGATCCTGACCATGTTCACGCCCTTCAACGAGTGGGTGTGGGGGTGGATCATGATCACCGTCCTATGCTCGTCACTCGTCTACTATGTCCTCGAACGAAAGGAAAACGACCTGGACTTCGGAGAGCCCACCATTGCCGAAAACCTCTGGTAAGGTCAGAAAGAGGGGAGGGGGGCATTGTTTGTTTAAGTGTCGCGTCTTCTTATCTGTGTGCGTGTGTGTCAGGAATTCGCTGTTTTTCGGCTTTGCAACTTTCACGCAGCTGATCACCTATGCGCCACGGACCCCTGTGGGCCGGCTGTTCTACCTCTCGTACACGTTCTTCATCCTCGGTACGCACCCACACACCACCACAACCAAGTGCCGTCCGATGCTGATCCCGCCAGTATGCCTGCGTGTGTGTGTCTCTCCCAGTCGTTCTGTCGTCTTACACGGCCAACCTGGCGGCCTTCTTTGGGAAGAAAGACGTCATCGAGGGAGCGGAGTCGCTCAAGGACCTCCTGGCAAAGAAACTGTGTGTCGCCAAGCAGCACCCGTCACACCGTCAGTGGGTCTCTGAACACCTGCCCGCCACCAAGATTGTCCAGGTCGATTCCGTCAAGTCAGTCGGGGGCGCAGGGACGCACCACACCGAGACACTGAGACATACCTACATCGCATTTATCGAGACACACAACATGTATCGTACCATGTTTTATTCTCTGTTGTGTTCAGGTCGATAATGGAGTCGGTGAGAGATGGGAGGTGTGCGGGTGGCCTGAGCACCGACCTGCACCTGAGGGGCGCCTTCCTGCTGGGCGACTTCTGCGACCTCACCCTGCAGGGACAGCCGCTCAACCTCGGCTACTACGCAATACCCTTCAGATACATCAGGGTGCGTAGGGAGGGAGGGAGGGAGGGAGGCACGTCAGCCAGCCATCCATCCATCTATTCATCCCTCTGTTTGTGTGTGTCGTGCAGACGGCCCCGTCGTATTCGATCAACTCTCCAGAGGCGTACGACGCCCTCAACACGCTGCTGGTGCGTGCCTTGTCGAGCGGCGCCCTGCTGGACCTGCTGACCCTCTATATGCCCCCCAACCCCACCGCACTCCTCTGCAAAGACACCGCGGACGAGGAGAGCGATGGAGACGACGTCACCACACTGACCTTCTACGACATGGCGGGCATCTTCGCCATCCACGCCTTGCTGACCGTCTTCGTCATCGCGCTCTTCTCGCTGGGCTATGGCGGGAAAGCGGCCGCCTCCTACTTTGCTACTGTACACCAAGGAGACGGCGGGGAGGGGTCGCTCTTTAGAAGGTTCGCCACCAACATCGCCGCGCAGAACCACAAGCTCGTGTCTCTCTTCGCACAGCTGTCGGCCGCCATCAGGTCACCCAGTCCCTCACTCACTCACCTGCAGATGAACGTACGTACGACCATTCGCCTGTGTGTGTGTGTGTGCGTCCGTCCTCAGGGGTGTGGACCCAGAAGAGGTCAGGGCCGAGTTGGACAAGGACGAGGATCTCCAGGCTATGCAGGAGACACTGAACACCCTCCGCAGTTCGCAGGCCATTCGCGCATCGCTCCGCCTGTCGGTCGTCTCACCCACCACCCACCACACCGTTGATGGAGGGGCGCCGGTCGTGGCATCCCCCCGCAGTGACGCCTTTTCGTGGCTGCGCACGGGGTTCGGCAAGCTGACCAGACCACTGGCCGACGCACAGGCACAGATGCAGCACAGACATGGCGAGGCTACGGGCAGGGAGGCGGGCAGGAGGGGGGGCGGCCGGCGAATGGGCGATCGCCCGGCGGTGGGGGTGGATAGTGAGATAGCTGACGACACGGCAGGGGGTGCGACGGGGGGAGGCAGTCCTCTTTGGCACAGAACACATGCACAGAGGGAAAACCCGGCCGGCATGGAAACCGCCGTCTGACTGACTGAATGGCCGACTGGCTGACCTGCTTGACCAATGAAATGCGTGCATGTGCCTTTGAGACGCTGACTGATGTGGTGTGGGGGATTTGGTCATTAGGTCGTTGGTTGATTTGATGGATGGATGGCTGTGACTAAGAGACAGACAGGTGAGAGAGAGACAGGCAGTTGTATGCATGTGTGTGTGTGTGCGTGTGTGTGGATGGATGGAGAGGAGACGGTTGGCTGTTTGTTGTTGTTTGTTGCGATGGCATCATATTCACAGATAAGTAACGTCATGAGCGGTATGCAGCTGAGCTAGCTCCACGGCAGGCAGGCACCACACATACACACAATCACATCACACATAACATACAAAGTGGACGTATGTATCGATATCGATATCGTGTCCCTGTCGGACGCCAACCAAACCAGCTCAGACAGAGACTTCATTCATTCATTCATTCATTGACTACAACTGACACATACATACAACACCATACCGTAAGAGAGTCACCCACTCGCCAATCGCCCAAAACCTTCACAGTATTCATTCGACTAGGATCACCCAACAAACAAAGAAACATCACATCAAAGGCACACCATACCACAACGCAAGACAACACACCATAACACACCACACCTCGCACACATGCAGACACGCACACGAAGGAGAAAAAGACAGAGATGGAGACAAAGTGTGTAGAAGTAGAAACCAGCAGGCAGGGAGGGAGGGAGGGAGGGAGGGGTTCATCCATCCATCCATCCATCCACTTCATTATTGAGGGTGTCTGGCCACACACTGTTTGTTGGGCCGTCCCGTCCTGTCACAGACATACGTATATACACACACCTGTATACCTAGCCTGTATACCTAGCCACGCATACACACATACACACATACATACATACACACATGCGTACACACATACATACGTACATATATATGTGGATCGATCGCGGTGAGGGATGATCGCACAAAAAATATACACAGGCAGGCATTTCTTTCATTCAGGCGAGCAGGCAGGCAGGGCGCGGTGCGGTCGGCGGCCTCACTAGGGCGAGCAAGTGTATGTATGTATTGTTGGATTGTCAGTCATTACATGCAGCCAGTCCATGCGGTCGGGCAAGCCAAGCATGCAGAACTTCGACAACATACCTGCGGCACACCAACATGTAATCCATCGCATGTAGCCATGCATGCTATTGACCCCACTCACTTCACTCACTCCCCAGCTCGCATTAATGGCACTTTCCAGGCGCCGACCGACAGACCAACCGACCCGCACCGCAAAAAGACGTCGACACTCCAAAAGCCCCATCCATCCATCCATCGATCGATCATCACTGTCTCTTTCTCCTTCGCTCAGCCTCCTTTTCCCGCACTTTGTACAGGCCCGCGTAGCGTCCCAGCATCACATATGTCGCCATGGGATTCATGCGAGTCACCTGCATGTGTGAATCATTCACAGCGCATGAGACACACACACACATGTGTGTCGTGTGTGGGTGGCCTGACCATGGGTACGACTGATGCGTCGACGATTGAGAGGTCATCGATCCCACAGACACGGAAGTCATTGCCCACCACCTTGCCCATTGCCGCAGACCTGCACACACATACACATATACACACAGCGAGACATGCCTGCAGGAGCCCGGATCGGCACCCCCTCTGATTTCACCTACCCTGTCCAGTGCCATATAGAGCTGCCGTGTGACCGCACGTAATTACCCAACGACTCAGGGTCCTGGAGATCTGATGTGCACCCAGCCACCCAGCAATCCAGTGTCTTGCGTCCTAATGCATGGATGCACGTATCTTATCCTTGCAGTGGGTAAGTACCCTTGGGCAGTGGGGGAAAGAGTGCATACTCTTTGGCTGCCTCGAGCTGGTCCGAGGCGCTCAGTATCTCCGCCTGGTCGCAGTTTACACCGGGGGTCTCGGCACCGCCCAGGAAACAAGACGACGTGTAGTTGGTGCCACGCCGCGACCTCGCCCTCTGACGGAGCTCCGCATCCTCCGTCACGGCCTTTATCTCCTCCTTGAGCCACTGCACGACCTCCGAATCGTCCTCACGGGGGTTCAGCCGATGCCGCCGCCTCTCCATGTCCACGGCGTCGTCATAGCCACCAATGCCACCCCCAAGCTCCTCCTGCAAAAGACGGAGGGCAGTGGCGTTGAGGTCCGTGCTCGCATCCTGCTGCGCCGCCATGGTGGCGTTGAAGGCCTGGGTGAGGGTGTCGTTGTAATTGGGCGGCGTGGTCTTTTCTGGCCGGATGAGCCGCAGGAAGGCGTCGATGGAGGGAAGCGGCGGGAACTCGATCTGGCGACGGATGGTCTCAATGGCCTATATATGTGCGACATGGCACACAATGGGCATGTCGGGTGAGGGTGTATGTTTGCTCACGTATTGGCTATTACCTCGAAAATAGGGTTTTGTTTAGGCAGCAGCCTCTGTCCCACGATAGCGAGGTCCAGCACACCGTTGAGCACGATCAGGGGACAGGACAGCGGCGACTTTTTCTGAAAAATCCCTTCAAACTCGCCAGTACCAATCGCCTGCAAACGCATCGAAGCACAAAATGAGACATGTCATGCGCAGATGCGATGTAGGGTCTGCCCATGAATGTACCCTGAGGACTCGTTGCAGGCCGTAGACTGCGTCGCGCAGGTCCTTGCCCTCCGGATCACCGTAGTAGTTGGCGGAGACAATGGGATCGCCTAAACCGCGCAACAGCACATGGACATGCCGGCCTGTCCTCGCACACTGTTTGTGTGCACTGCATGCTTACCCTTCTTGTTGATGGTGACTGACCCCCGTGACCTGGGCACCGAGTTGAAGGTAAACAGGGCAGCGACGCTCCTGAGGCACTGGATGAGTGGCTTGAACGGGATGCACACGATGTCGTTGAGGTTGGCCGAACACGTAGACAGAATGGTCACCAACCAATCCACCTCACTGACACCCACACACACATGCATAGCATACATGACTCACGCGCACGCGAACGATCAGTGAGTGCGGTGGTTGGTTGGTTGTCTCACGGCGTGGATCTGTAGTGGGGAGGAAGTACGAATCGCGTGGCGTACAGGACGCCCTCGGCGATCTGTGCGCCTGAGAGCTCCTCCGTCGGCACGTACGCACACGTCGGGTTGGCCATCATCTCCGACAGACTACGAAGACACACACGCATCCGTGTGTCAGATGTCTGTTCCGTCCTCTCACTCACTCACTCACTCACTCACCCGAATCCTTTACAGCCCGTCCCCTCCTGCAGCAGCCCCGCCACCTGGACGAGCGTGGCGTTGTATCCCTGATCCGGCATCTGTTTCGGCTCGAAGAACGCGTCCACCGGCACAAAATTCCGATCCATCAGATTCTTGCCCAGATCGGGGACCTCCTTAACCATCTTCAGCTTCCGCACATCCTCAACAATTTCCCGCGGACCCACGCCATTGTTCATCAGCAGAGCGGGCGTGTAGATGGCCCCCGCTGAGAGGATCACCTCGCCGCCCTTTTTGATGCACGCCTTCCGCAGAGTGACAGGCTTTGTGGGCTTCCTTTCTTGGCCAAACAGTTCTGCCGTGATGTTGACCTCCTCTCGTCGTGACGAAGAGGGAAACATGTCAAAGAATCCCTCGACGGTTTCAAAGAGGGAGTTGGCGAGACTGTCCACCCTCTCCAGAGACTCAGGCGACGGGGCGTAGCCGACACACTCGATCCGTGGGTTGCCGGTTTGCTCATCCGTGACGAAATGCAGCTTGTGCACGGTGGTGCGTTTAATCGTCTTCAGGGTCTGCTGCTCCTGTTGTCGCATCCGTAGGATCTCGTCTGTGGCCCGCCGCGGCCTCATGGGTGAGAGATCCTTCTCAAAACGTTGTTCGAAGAGGGAGAAGGCGTTCCATGAGCCCTGGCTCAGCTCAAAAGACTCGCCATGGTAAGGCTCCCAGCCGACTTTTGCCGTGGCGCGCTGCCAGGCGCTGCCGTAGGGCTCTGAGAAGGGCATCGGGTGGCCGAGCTGTTCGCGGACCCACGTGTAAGACTGCAATGTCAGCCAACACACATGAGTGTGGTGTCATTCATCTGCTGACGCGAGACATGTTTGCTCACCTCGTTGACCATGGCCGGGTCGAAGTCAGCTCCGTACTCTTCGCGGATAAAGTCGAAGTAGTCGTTTTTCTCCTGGATCCAGATGGCCAGGTTGACGGCCGTGCCCCCACTCATGACGTTGCCGATATGCGACCTGACGCCCTCGAGCGTGAGCAGGTCCTGCGTCAGGTCCTTGTTGAGCAAACCCAGACCAGTGCCACCGATGGTCAGCCCCTCTGGGCTGTCCGACCTGTCCCCGCCCCGTTCGATCAGCAGCACCTTGGCGCCCGATTCCGCCAGGGTCTGAGAGAGGGGAATGCCTGCAGCACCGGCACCGACCACGATGTAGTCGAAAAGGTCATCCTCAGCGGGAAACCACGCCTGCAGGGGCGTGATCGACATGAACAGATGGACCAAGAGAAGAAGGCCTTTGTGTGCCCGCGTGCGGTGTGTGCGTACCTTTTGCTCTGAGCGACTCCGCCCTCTTTCGTTGCCTCCCCTGTCGGGCAGCCCACATGTGCCCTTGATCATCACGAGGAGGATCACGATGAAGACCCTCCCAACAGCCCATCGGCACCATCCCCTCTGCCGCCTGTGCCTTCCGCTCGTCTGGAGGAGGGGCAACAGACCAGCACGTGGGTCAGAGGGCATCGTAGGGAGGGGATGCGTGCCGCGGCTGGAGTTGTGGGTCAATGGATGAGGGGGGTCTGAAGGGACCGCACTCACCTGCCTTCTCACAGAGCCGTCACTAGGCATCTCGTGAGTCACCACCGACGTCGTCGAGTCCTTCCCCGTACACCGTAAAACCGTTGTGTGTAAATCTTCTTCCTTTTCTGAGCAGAGAGGAGAGATGCCCGCGGAAACGCCGTAATCTCCATCCAGATAGATGCACAGCTGCAGCTTCAGCGGCAGGCTAGGAGTTGGCGGCAGGCCGGGAGACTTCGCCATTCACGTGGATCCGGTCGCTGACTGGATGCTGACAGTAAAGGCCACACGGGTGACTGACGCATATGGATATCTATAGATAGCCAGATGTCTCTCTGTTGGCTCCCATAGATGCTCTTGTGCGGTGGAGTGAGTGACGGCGTGATGTGATGCCTGCGTCTGCGTTTTGTATGTGCAGATGGATGGATGGAGGGACACTATACAGACACACGTACAGGGGACCCGACGTGCATGCTAACTACTGCTCAATGAATGGAGTGTGTGTATGTATCACTCCAGAATCAGAACACACAGACACATTTAGTCAATTGCATCACTGTCCATGGGTCAGCGAATTACACGAAATTCATGCACACCACACCACACCACCACACACCACCACACCACACCGCACCATCCACACACAGCCTGCCTGCCTGCCTGCCTGCCTAGCGTCTCTTCACCCAAGCGTGCCGTGCGTCGCGTCGCATTCCCTCACCCGCCCATCTATCTATTCAGCCACCGGACGGACAGCTACACACATCCACCATTCCATTCAGTCATGGCCCCGCCTACGATACGCAGCCAATCCATCCACCAACGAATGCCATGCCCCTCCAGCCGGCCGGCCATGCAGCGAACGCACACACTACAGCAGCTGCACTCAACCACGGACCAATTGCCTGACTGGCTGACCCGGCCCATCGGTGGTCACTCACCAAAACAGCCAGCTGCCCCTCTCCTGTGGCGTTTCCAGTATCTGCTTCGCCCACTCGCCCTGGTTGATGAGCCGCTCCGACTCCGGGAACACCTTGAGTGCGATCTGCACCAGCTGCAATCCGCCCTTGCCCACCACCACCTCCCTCGACCGCTCGTTGCCCTCTGCCACGGCCCCCAGGGCGCAGCAGCCGTTCTGCTGCACGAGCTCCTCGAATGGGTGGCTGCCCATGGCCTTGACGATCTCCTCCACGCCGTGCAGCTTGAGAATGGCCAGCTGGGCGCTGTGCTCGCGCTCGACCGCCGCTGTGATGACGTTGAAGGCGTTGGCCACTAGCTGGGGGGATGGCCGGTGCGTCGAGATGGCCGCCAACACGATCGACAGCGCCTTCTCTGAATGGTGGGTGGATAAGGAGCATGCTTACGTGTACATGTCACATTTTCATTGATGTGTAGATGGCTCCCTTCAGCACCTGATCCGATGATTTGTTTGATTTGCGGGTCTTTGGTGGCGATGACGGACAGGAGTCTGCACCCGTTCTCCTGCACCTCGAGCATGTCGCTGTGCATCTTCATGGCGGCCAGCACGGCGTCCACGCCGCCCAGCTCCTTGACCTCTATCGCGTTGGTCGGGTTGTCGTACGACAGACCCACCAGACCAACAAACCTGACACACATGGAAAGATCATCACAGACGGATGGATGGATGGACGGGCGGATGGATGGATGGTTGCTCGTCCGGCTCACCCACCCGTTGGCCTGCAGTCCTCCCTGCTCGACGTATGCGCCGAGGAGGTCGACGATGAGGGTGATGCCGTCCCCGTCCGTGATCGCCTCCCTGCTCGCCGCGTCCACAAACGCCACTATGCCCACCAAACGAAACGCCGCCGACAGCAGCCGCACGCGCACCGCTCCCCCGTCGTCCCCCTCCCCCTCCTCATCGATCTCTCTCTCGCCCGCCGCCGCTGCTGCCCCGTTCTCCCTCGCCCGTGCCGCAGCATGTGCCAGTTTGTCCTTCTCTTGTTTTTGGACGGCTCGGTGCTGGTATCCCAGCAAGGCCAGGAGCATGTCGGCGATGCGCGGCACGGATGAGGGGAGGCCGGTGCACAGCTGCTGTGCGTTTTCGGTGTTGCGTTTGGTGACGGCGACGATGGCCTCGATGGCGTGGAGGGCGACACTCTCGCTGGCGATGTTCTGCGAGAGGGCGGAGAGGAGGGTGGGGAGGACGGGCAGCGACGCCGTGAGCTCCTGCTGGAAGGGGGGTGCGATGTCGATCATGGCCACGATGAAGTCACACACGGCCGGGAAGGCGGCGTCGAAGTACGGTGATGGCGGGGGCAGCTGACATACATACAAACACACAGCCACACATAAACAGAGAGATGTGAGTCGAGTCGGATGGGTGTGTGTGGTGGTGGAGGCATCGCATGGCATGGACGCCACACAGGTCAGGTTTATTACTTACTGTGAGTGCGGTCTTGATGAGCTGCATGAGGAGTGTGGTTCGGTGTTGGTCGAGCAGGGTGTTGATTTCGGTGAGCTGCTCTTCCGCGAGGTAGTTGAGTATGTTGAGGACATCGCCGACCAGCGCCTCCTTGTTGACCACCGACACGTTGTGCACCACACACTCCAGAAACGCCACACCCAACTCTACCACTGACAGACAGACAGATGGGTCGAATCCAGTGACAACAAAGCAAAGCAGCCATTCCTTCAATCGTGGTGTTTACTTTCGGCAGCGGCTGTGTCGCTGGTCGTTCGCTTGCGTGACGTGGCGTCGCCACCCGACGCACCCGTGAACGTCAGCTGCTGAGTGAACCGGGGCGGGGGCCTCTCTGCCTCCCCCTCCCCCTCTCCCTCCCCCTCTCCCTCCCCCTCTCCCTGCCCCTCTCCCTCAACCTCTCCCTCACCCCTTCCCGCCCCCTGCTGCCCGACTCCATCTCCGTTGATTTGGTCGACCGGTGCGGCTGTGGACGGCTCGTTGGGCGAGGTCTCCTCCTTGGTGCTGACCGTCTCGGCCGCGGACACATCGTCACCTCCCGCCTTGCTCTCCTCGTGTCTACTCGGGGCGAACTCCGGCACACTCGCACGTGCGCCGTTGGCCTCCTGGTTGTGTGCCGCCTGGTCCACCGCAACGCCGCTTTTGGGCGTCATGGACAGCCGGGGTGTGGTGGGTTTGCTGCTGACGGGGCCGTCGTTGTGTCCGCTGCCCGCCCCCGCCTGTGTGAGGCGTCGGTGGATCTCGGACAGGCAGATTCTGAGCATGAGGAGGGAGTGGGGGTGCTGCGTGAGGGCCGATATGAGCTGGGCGTTGGTCGTCATGGTCGCCAGGCTGTACGCGCACTGCATGGGCGACAGAGACGGACCCAACGGCTCCTGTCATGTCACCAAACCACATGTGATGTGGACGCAGACAGACAGCCACATGTCAAGGGAGAAATGCAATGCGCCTCTCCCTGTGTGTGTGTGGGGGGGGGGCTTCCTGACGGTTGATGACGTACGGTACCTGGAGGATGGCCTCGAAGCAGTAAGAGTTCTGTCCGGTTCGGGGGTTGCGTGTGGCGGCAGGTGCCATGACGGTCTCGAGTATGCGCTGGTACTCTGCGTTGGACCGCAGCGGATGGATGTGGTGCACAAGGACGCTGTACTGCTTGCCGCGAAGACACTCGAACCCAACCTCAAACGACTCTTTCTGCACACACACGACACAGGACAGACACACATGACATGACATAAAGTGTTTTCAATGTTTCGATGTCAGCCAGAATCGGAGGGCCCTCCCCTGCTCTTTGTTCTTGTGTGTTTCCTCCTCCTTGTCAATTCACCAACCAGCAGTTTGGGTGTGGTGGGCATTCGTTCGCAGTAGACGGTCTCGTCTTCGAACTTGATGGAGAAGCGCGGCTCGAAGTCGCCGTAGGTTTGGTCCCCATTGTTGGTGCCGGTGGCTGGCGAGGAGGGCAGCGACGAGGGCTGGTGGGGCGGCGATGCTGATGCATCCGACGGCTCAGACGAGTGTGAGTGCGATTGCGAAGACGACATTGCTGCGATGCGGCCCCTTCTCCTACAGGCAGGTGCTAATGAGATGACGCTTAAACGCTTAAGGCTTCAGCAGCAGCGGTTTCATGCAGTACCCTAGGCTTCCGAGGCGAGCTTGGCTTCATTCGGTCGCAGAGTGCTTGAGGTTTTATGCCCTCTGACTGACCTTATCTAGCAGCGGTAGCGCCGGTGGAACAGATCTGCAAGTTACAGCCCGTGTCGATGAGCACCGACAGCGTCAGAGATCAGCGTGTGGCCTACCATCTGAGCTGACACACCACACCCCTGTCAGGTCAGAGATGCAGGCAACGAAGGCCAACGGCGAGGCATCCCGTCCTCGGGGCTCGTTCAACGCCCTCATCGACCGCATGTACGTCTTTTCATCGGCGTCGATGGCCAGCTTCGTCGCCCACATGCCCGCCTCCGACCCCCCATGCGACGAGTGCCGGCGGCGGCGCAGCGGCAACCCCTGCATCTGCCGCGAGGTCGACAAGGTGGGCAAGGCGGCGCCCTATGTGCTGGCCGAGGTCAAGGAGAGCAAGGAGCGGCTCAACGACACCAAGAGCAAGCTGGACGTGGTGGACCTTGAGCTGTGGAAGAAACACACACGCAAGACCGAGATGACCGGGGAGGTCGTCAATGAGTGCAGAAAGGTACGCACGGCAGATGGCATAGGGAGGTTGATACCAATAACACATTTCTGTGTGGGTGGACAGACACATTTCTGTGTGGTGTGTTGTGTTTGATGGATGGCAGAGGCTGGGGGATGGCGGGAGTGAGCCCGAGATGGTGACCCACGCGTGGTGCAAGATGTACGAGATGCTCTCCTGCTGCCAGCTCATTCCCGAATACGTCGCTAGCAAGGGAGCCGTCAACACAAGTAACCTAAGCAGGGGTGCTAAGCTACACAGCCGACATACACCTCCCTAAGCAGTCGATTCACAATGCGCTTTGCAACTGCTTGGACGGTTTGTTTGGTTCGGTCAGTCCACCTGTGTGAGTGTCCGGGTGCGTTCATAGCAGCGACGAACCACTACCTGAAGCAGGGGCAGCACGGGCGGCTGGCCCGCATCAAGTGGAACTGGCACGCCATCTCACTCAACCCTTACTGCGAAGGTCAGTCAGTCAGTCGGACACACAGACTCACACACAAACAGGCAGACACACGCACAGCTCACATGTGCGGGCGGGTTTGTGTGTCTGTCTGTCTGTCGGGTGGGGTCAGCCAACAATCTCAACGCCATGATCGATGACGACGCCTTCTACAGGTGCGTGCGGACCGACCGGATCGACATGATCACATTCGTTCGCCATGGCTGTGTGTGTGTGTGTCAGGGAGACGTACCACTCGTGGCTCAAGGGGGCTGACGGCACCGGCAACATCATATCCAGAGGTAGGTATACACACTGACTTGACTGACACGCACACAGAGGCAGGCAATCAAGACCATCATCCCTGTGACGTGACAGAGAATATCGAGCACCTCTGGGACCACACGTCGCGGGCAAGACCACCTGCTACCACATTGGTCAGTCAGTCAGTCAGTCAGTCGGCCCACCACACAGCACAGCACAGCACAGCACACAAAGCGTCGTCATGATATATGTGTTTACCATGCCATGTGTGTCAGGCTGATTTGGTGACGGCTGACGGGTCGGTGGACAGCCAGTGGGATGCCAACGAGCAGGAGTCCATCACGGCATCACTGCACTTCGCCGAGCTGGTGACGGCTTTGGGTGTGTTGGCTCCTGGCGGCAGCTTCGTCATCAAGCTTTTCACCCTCTTTGAGCACACCACACTGTCCATCGTCTTCTGCATAGCCGCTTTCTTCGAAGAGGTCAGTCAAGTCAACATACACTCAGACAGGGAGGGAGGGAGAGGGAGAGAGATCAGGTATGTGCCTCTGTGTGTCTGTGTGTGTGTGTGTGTGTGTTGGTGGGACAGGTGGCGATAGTGAAGCCGTCGATGTCCAAGTACGGCAACTCTGAGACCTACGCCATCGGCCTCAGATACAAGGGCATTCGATCCGTCTTTCTCAGACAACTCACACGGGGTGGACTGTCACATACACACACACCGATGCACCCGTACACACACACAGACACACCCCGTGTATGTATGTGTGTGTCGTTTGGTGTCCACCCATCAGCTGTGCGTGTGGATGGCTTTCTCGACACCGCCATCATCCCTCGCTCATGGATACCACAAGTGAGTCGCCAATCGACCCAACTCC